ACTGGAATTATCCACATTAAGTAACAAATTCTTTCACTGACACAAAACTTGCCAAGAAGCTTGCCAAGAAGCTTATGTTACTCTGTGTTTGTGTATGGGGGGAGAGGCATTGGTAACAATTTATTTTAAAAAGCAAAACTAAGAAAAACTGTAGTTCACACAAATTTGTTTAGAGCCAAATTTAATTGCTAAACTCACGAACCTGGAAAAAAGTCAAATTAGAAAACAATAGGGAAAATACATTGACGTTTTAAGATGTAATGGTTCATGAAATAAGAAAAATGGAAAACTAATCAAACAATGCTGGTGTCATGCTACATTTACATATCTTCATTATAAGACATGGCAAATAGGAAAATAAATGGGGAAAAAAGGGAAGGGACCATTTTCATTTTACACATTTTTTTTGCCACACTGGCCTAATGACAGAATCATATCTGGCAGAAAGACAACCAAAGAAATTCAGTGGAACCCGAGATTAGATTGATTAGTGTGCTCCTAAGAGCAGAACCTATCTTTAGTTCGAATTTCCTTCGAAGTCCCTGTGAGAGAATTCTGTAATGTGCAAGCTTGAGCATGAGTGTAATTTAAAATAAACCTCTGATGGAAAAGATGGAATGTCTTAGAAAAAACTGAGGCCGGGAGAAAGGCTAAGCTGACTTTTTTCTGCCTACACAAGTATACATTTCAGTACATTCACTTTTAAAAACAGAATTTATTGGGAATTTTGAGTGACACTACCAACTTGATTTAGAAGCAATTTAGAAAGTCAAGATTATAAGTCACACAATTGTTTTTTTATTAAATCCAGGAGTATGGATTCCTTTTCACAGCACACTGAAACATTCTGCAATAAGCTATTTTAGACCTGCTGGTTCCAGGTTGGTAGGGGGGAGAGAGACAGACAGAGAATTTATTTCAGTGCTCAACTACCCTGACAGTTAGGAAGTTTTTCCCTAATGTCTTGCTGCAATTTAAACTCATGGCTTCTTGTCCTATTCTCAGAGGTTAGGAGAACAATTTTTCTCCCTTCTTGTAACAACCTTCTATGTTCTTGAAAACTGCTATCATGTCCCCTCTCAGTCTTCTGTTCTCCAGACTAAACAAACCCAATTTTTTCAATCACCCCTCATAGGTCATGTCATCTAGACCTTTAACCATTTTTGTTGCTCTTTTCTGAACTTTCTCCCATTTGTCCACATCTTTCCTGAAATGTGGCACCCAGAACTGGACACAATACTCCAGTTGAGGCCTAATCAGTGCAGAGTAGAGCGGAAGAATTACTTCTCATGTCTTGCTTACAACACTCCTGTTAGTACATCTGAGAATGACGTTTGCTTTCTTTGCAACAGTGTTACACAGTTGATTCATATTTAGCTAGTGATCAATCCACTTTGACCCCAGATCCCTTTCTGCAGTACTTCTTCCTAGGCAGTCATTTCCCATTTTTTTACGCCTGAGGGAATTCTGCACCAAAAAATTAAAAATTCTGCATTCATTTTAAAATATTGCAAAATTCTGCATATTTTGTCAAAGTAACACCATATAATCACACCATTTTCAATTATTTGCTGACAAGTATTTTGAAATAAAATACCAAAATAACTGAAAATGGTGTGATTATATGTTTATTGTGTTTCTGTGTTATTGTGACAAATATGCACAAAAAATTTAAAAAAACCCCACCCTATAGTAGCTCCATCTAAGTTGTATTTCCCTAGTTTGTTTAAGAGAAGGTCATGTGAAACAGTATCAAAAGCCTTACTAAAGTAAAGATATACCACATCTACCACTTTCCCCCTATCCACAAGGCTTGACACCTTGTCAAAGAAAGTTATTAGTTTGGTTTGGCATGATTTGTTCTTGAAAAATGTATGCCAGCTGTTACTTATCACCTTATTATCTTATAGGTGTTTGGAAATCAATTGCTTGACTATTTGCTCCATTATCTTTCCATGTACTAAAGTTAAGCTGACTGGTTTGTAATTCCCCAGGTTGTCCTTATTTTCCTTTTTATAGATTGGCACTATATTTGTCCTTTTTCATTCCTCTGGAATCTCTCCCATCTTCCATGACTTTTCAAAGTCAATTGCTAATGGCGCAGATATCTCCTCAGTCAGCTCCTTGAGTATTCTAGGATGTATTTGATCAGGCCCCGGTGACTTGAAGATACCTAACTTCTCTAAGTAACTTTTAACTTGTTCTTTCCGATTTTAGCCTCATATCATACCTCATTTTCACTGTCATTCACGATGTTAGTTGTCCAGTTGCTACTAAATCTTTTTGGTGAAAGCTGAAAGAAAAGTCATGTAGCACTTCCACCTCCCCCTCACTGAGTAATGGGCCTATCCCTGTCCTTGGTCTTCCGCTTGCTTCTAATGTATTTGTAGAATGTTTTCTTGTTACCTTTTGTGCCTCTAGCTAGTTTAATCTCATTTTGAGCCTTGGCCTTTCTAATTTTGCCCCTACATACTTGTGTTATTTGTTTATATTCATCCTTTATAATTTGACCTAGTTTCCACTTTTTTGTAGGACTCTTTTTGGAGTTTCAGATCATTGAAGATCTCCGGGTTAAGCCAGGGTGGTCTCTTGCCATACTTCTTATCTTTCCTATGCAGTGGGACAGTTTACTCTCATGCCCTTAATAATAGCAGCAGTTAGTGGCTTCAGTTCAGTTCCCAACGAACAGATATTTATATGTCACAAAAGCCGTCACAACTTGTATCCCCAGTAAACTCAATTGGCCAGAGAGATTGAACTACCCATTCATCCTTAAAGATGGCTCTCTCCAGCTCAAGGTTGGGATAATGTGCGAAAGGTATTGCCGCTGACTGTGCAAGTACTATTTCAGTGGATAAACAGAGGTCGTCAGTCTCCAGTGTTACCTAGCGGCTCTGTGTTCTTGGGGAACCAGGGCATAGTACCCAGCCTGTCTGACTCACGAAAGGCCTCTGTTTGAACCAAAACCGATGGGAAGAGAGACTTACAAAAAGCAATGAAAAGGCAGTGGGAGACACACCTAAACCGCTCGGATAAGGATGACAGGATTAAGGAAACTCCCCTAGCCTCATTTGCATGGAAGATGGGACAAGGAGGAATTGCCAGTAACATACAGAACGGAGAACAGAGATTGCAAGGCAAGAACCGCATCAAACTCTGGGACCAGAAAAGCAGGGAAGCACTGCATGAAGGGGGATCTCTGGTCCAGATGTTAATGAACCCACACCTGCACACACCCAGCTCAGTAGTTATCAGACCAATTCCAGTAATAAATCCTTTATTGGTATCCAAAATAGTGAAGTTCCCTAATTGCATTGTGAGCTTCCTCCAAGGAACACCGCCCATAGCCAGAAATGACCAGCTCCCATTGGCTAGCCTGAACAAAACAACTTTGGTATACTTCCTTGAGCCATCAGTTTACACAAACAAATCTAGTGTTCTCCCTTGAACCATTGTTGTTTCTCTACAAAAACCTCTACTCATGCTCAAGTAAGTGTTCAGATGCCTGGATCTAAAATCTGCATCAGTTCCATTCAGACTTCATCTTCTCCTGACTGATCATGCTGGGGGCTCTGCCTGTCTTCAGCACTCTGGACCCTCAGCTACCACCACCACCTGGGACCCCCAATTGATTCAAGCTTCACAGAGTGGTGAGAACCCAGCTCTCTCTCTCTAGGTATAGCCTTCTGACCCTGACTTGTGCGATCAGTTATAGTTTTCTAAACCTGACTTTTATAATCAAATTTAAGTTAGATTTAATATTATAACAGTTTTGTTTGTTTGGCTCCTCTATGGTTATTACCTGGCAATAAATAACTTTCATGATTAAGCTGGTTGCTTCTCTCCCCCCCCCCCCCCCTGCACCCTCCATGGTTGTTTTTTTTGTTTCCTCATTCACTCTGCAGCAACGCTCCTCGTACCTAAGCTAAAAGATCCCTGCAGCGCCCAAAAATCCTGTGGGGTTTGCTCATCAAGGGGTTACTACTAGAACAAGTGTAACGTGAAAGTGGGGATAGGGACGTGCTGAACCTGGGACATACGAGGGTGGCAGCTTGGAAATGCTGCTCGACCCAGCCTGCTCCGGCGTACTCTATTCTGTGCCCATGGCATAGGAAGGTGACAGCTGGGAGGTGCTGTTGGACCCAGCCTGCTGAGTCCAAGGGCCTATGAGAGGGTGACAGCTTGGAAATGCTGCTCGACCCCGCCTACTGAGTCTAGGAACATATAAGGGGTCAGCTTGGGAGTGCTGAGTAACCCAGTTCACTCAGACCTCGCTCTGTTAATGTGTGTGTGAGTGTCAGATTCTGGGGATGGCAGAACCCAGCCCTGGGGAACCTAGGTCCTGCAGGAGAGCGCCGTTGGGAGGGAACTTGCAGCAGGGAGAAGTAGAGCTCCGCATGAGAACACAAGTGACATATGGAGTACATTGATAGAAGTACAGAACCCCCACCCCCAGAAGAGTCAAAGTAACAGACAAAGCTGGTAACACCAGGACTGTCAAGCCAGCACCTTTCATGAGGATTAAGTTAGTGATTTTGTTTTACATTACAGAAGATGACACACAGACTACTTCAACTGAAAAAGTGAACTCAATTTCCTTGCTGGTACATTTATCATTTGATTTAAGGTAAAAAGAACAAAGCACTCATAAGGAGCAAATGAAGAGAGAGCAAAAGTAGCAGCTTAGGTGGAATACACAATTTCAGTAATATAACAATATTCTGGAAATGCTACAATGCTGCTATACTGTGTCTTGCAGTCTTTCAAAGGGGAGGAGAAAGATGGTTTAGAAAAGAAAGAGGCAATAGACTCTTTATTCATTATTCTCCTAACAATGAAAGACCCCTGAGGAAGTAAAGTAATTTTTAACAGCTTGATTTTCAAATAAATTCAGTTCAAACTGGAAGGTACTCAGTATTTTATATATTTACTGTACATGTGCTACTCAATTGCTTTTGTTAAAGAGCTTCTGCAAATGGTTAGATAAAAGTAATACTTACTGGTAATGAACCCATGATGGACCAAGCGTTTTCTTAAACTGAGTAAGTCCCACAATATCAATGTAAATAAGTTCTACCACTTTATCTCCCTGGGTGGGGCAACCAGATCTGTTCCCTACAACCTTCTTCATAATCCTATCCAAAAAAAGGGGGGGAGGGGAGGAATATGTCAGCACCTTTCTGCATTCATGCGATATGCAATTTGTATTGATAATCCAATTACACTAAAAAAAACACAGTGGTTAATTATTCTAATTTTGCAAAGACAGTAACTGCATATGTGCAATTTTAATCTCTTACTGCTGAAAACCAGTAAAACATTCTAAGAAGTTTACTGAAAAATGGATTAGGTACAGTAAAATAGAGACTTCTTATAGTAGACGCTTGTCACTGAATAATTTCTCTAACCTAAATGGAGGTACAAATATAACCTGAGCAGCAATTTTCACAATGCAAATGCGATATACTGAAGCAATTTGTATATCACTTTTAGTATTTTGTTAACTGTTTTATTATATCAGAATTCACTACAATATGGTTTCATTGTATATACTGTAAAAATGAAAGCTACAGAAAAAAGGACAAATGCCCAATCTTAAACAGGTGCATTATAAAAAGTATTAAAGTAGGATGAAGTGTCACAGACTAAAAACCAAAATGACTTTATCCTACAAAAAAGACTAATGTAAATTTGACTGAAATATGAGCATTTTCAGAGCACGTAACTGCATTAAAATTAATTTATTTAAGACTGTAAATAGCTGGATGCGGAGTGGGGAATATTATAAATTTAAGCTAAAGGACATGGAATTAGAATAGTAAGTAATGTATCTTGTTGCAGATGTTTAAAGCACCTGTAATGGTAAAAAATTAAGCTGCTTAGTTTGAATTTTCCACCATTAATTTATGAAGTCTCAGGAGGCTGCAGCTACAATGAAAACATAGTATCCTTTTCACAGTGCATATATTTAGCTCATGAAAATAATCTTCTTATCTCCTGTTTGGTGAATTATCACTTTCATTTTCCTCTTCAAGAAATTATATACAGTACTAATAGAGGCTTCAGGAGTTTACAATTTCTTTTTTGTATTCTAGTTTCATAATTGAAAATAATCTCCTTACTCCTTGAGCTCTGCCAGTGAAGCTGAAATCCTAATGTCATGGCCAAGTAAGTAGAGAGATGTAATTAAATCACTCCACTGGACTAATTCACCAAGTGGGCCACCACTAAATGCATTCTCTGCGATCTTGAATCCGGATTCCTTTGTTAAAAGTCCCAAATGAACAAGAATCTGAAAAAGAAAGCCAGGTGTAAGCAGTAACAACATTCATTCTGCAACTAATTAACCAACGTACCTTATGTTGGTTCCTTCTTGCTCTCTCCACATTCCAACTCAAACATTTGTTTTTTTAGCTAATTTAATCAAAGAACTGTTACATTTCTCAACAGCCCCACCACTCTACTCATTGCAATAGGACTACTTCATTGCTTTAGACCATTTTTACAAACCACTGGAGTGCCTTTTTTAATCTTTTACATTCTCAGATATGATCTAAACCAGTGGTTCTCAAACTTTTTTACTGGTGACCCCTTTCACATAGCAAGCCTCTGAGTGTGACCCCCCCATTATAAATTAAAAACTCTTTTTTATATATTTAACACCATTATAAATGCTAGAGGCAAAGCGGGGTTTGGGGTAGAGGTTGATAGCTCGCAACCCCCCCATATAATAACCTCTTGACCTCCTGAGGGGTCCCGACCCTCAGTTTGAGAACCCCTGATCTAAACAATATGATTGCACAAGAGAATGCATTAAAAATGAGGGGAAGCAGACTGATATGGAGAAAAATATGATTCTATATATAAAAAGGTCCCAATAAAAAGGTCCCTTTTTGTCCCAATAAAGTTTGAGATCAAAAAGATTATAATAAGGAAAACAGAAAATAAAATGTTACGATTAACTCACATTTTATACAATATGTGAAGATAGCAATTTCATCATTCAAAAATTGGAATGTTAAGTAATTCCCATTAAAAATTAAAGGAGTCTGAAAACTAATAAGACAAGATCAATTACAGGATAGGACCGTATTTCTTCTGCTCTTGGAGGACCATATTTTCTCATTAGGTACTTGCACTAGCTCGACACTCCAGCTGAGAAGGACAGGACATGTTTCTCTCTCGGGCTACTTCACACAGCTGCAAACACAAACCATTCTGGACTGCACAAGAATGACAAGGGTGACCCACCCCCCACCGCAATGGAGGGAATTTTTCTCTGCAGCTCTCCGAATCCTTTATGACCTTTGTAAATAAGCACTACAGCCTGTATCATAACTGAGCACCAAGCACTGTGAAGAACTATCATCCTACTTTGCTGACAAGATCATCGTGGGACATTCAGGACATCTTTAACAGCATGGATCTGCACCACCTATCCCCACCAATCAATAGCCCAACTGCATTCCCACAGTTTAAACAGTTCACTCAAGAAGTTCTGGATGCCCTAAGGTAATCTCAAGGCAAGATTTGTAAATCCAAGAAGCATCATTCCTGTTTTGTAAAAGATAGTCAGGAACAACTGGTACCACTCCTGACCAAAATAGCCAACGCCTCAGAGAAGGAACCTTCCCTTCTTCCTTCAGACACAAAATAGTTAGACCAAAACTGGCAAACTCACTCAGGAGACGTAGCCAACTATCACCCTATGTCAAACCTTCCATTTCTCTTTAAGTTCATAGAGAAGTTCACTAAAGGCCAACTACAAGCTCATCTAATTGAAACTAATATTCTGGACCTGGAACAACCTGGCCTCAGGCCAGGACAAGGAATTAAAACCATTTCAGTGGCACTCATGAATGGTCTCCTGCTAGCTGATTGAGGGAAAACATCCATTCTCATCTTCCTGGTTATCTCTGCAACATTTGACACAGTCGATCATGAAATATTGTTGTCTTGTCTGAGAGAGGTGGCAGGAATCCAGGGCAATACGCTGATATGGTCTGAGTCCTTCCTGGAGGGATGCACCCAACAAATAGCAATGGAAAACTACACATCATCCCACAAGGATGAGTTCCCTCTCTGGTCCTTTTCAACTACATACAGTTACTAGGTGAACTGGTCAGACAACACTGACTCATGTTGCTGGTGCCTGAAGATGACACACAGCCCTACCTATCCTTCACCACACACAACCACAGCACTATCATAAAGTTGGGCTCAGTGATTGGACGAGATCAGCTCAGAGATGAAGAGAAGATGGCTGAAGCTGAACCTTAGCAGAAGTGATACTAGTTGACAGAGGAAAGCATTTTGAAGAATTGCGGACAAGTTAAAATCTCCTTTGGTCTGCAATTGGTCAATTTAGTCTTTAGTTTAGGCGTCCTCTTGGATACCTCACTGATAAGCTCTCACATAGCAGCAATACTTTCTATCATCTTGGATTAGCTAAAAGTCTCAATTCCATCCTGGCAGATGATGACCTGGCCTCAGTTATTTATGTCTACCACCTCTCAGTTGGACTGCACAAATGTGATACACCTGGGCATGAAGTCTTCATTGCTTAAGAAATGCCAACTAGTATAAATTGCTGTAGAACAGCTCCTCAGCAACACATCAGACCTGTCCTCTGTTCTCAACACTGATTTCCCAGAGGATTTCAAATCACATTCAAGATCTCAGTCCTTATCTTCAGGGCAATCCATAGCCTGGGCCCAGCATATCTAAAAGTCCATCCATCTAGAGCTCTGGGATGAAGACTGTGGTCGACAACTCTACTCCTCTGGTGCAATCTATAATAAGGGTAAATCTTGTCTCTGTGGGACACAGAACTTTCCCAGGGGCTAGTCTGAAACTGTGGCACAAACTCCCCTAGGAACTAAGGACCATCACAAACCTCCCCACCTTTTGCTCCCAGTGTAAGGCATATTCCTTTGATCCTACCTTCTCTAACACAACCACATAGCAACCCTGTATATTTTAAAAAAATCCTGCACCCTCCCCAACCCCTTTCCCCCAAAACCCCTACATGCAAAATAATCTACTAGCCCCTCTGAGATTCTCTTGGAATCAGGAGTAAGAACAAACAAGAGATTAAGTAATTTTTACCTCTTTCCCCTCAAGCATTGCTTAGATGACAAGCACACTTTCCAAAAGCTGTTATGATTTCAACTGCCAGAAGCGGTTAATAAAAAACTCACTTTTTTTCGTTTTCTTTTCTCCAGGTTTTGCTTTTCTGCAAGTGACTTAATTGCTTCAATCCACGCATCAGCCATTCGTCTGATGCGCAACATCATCCATCGGAATTCTTCATGCCTTGACATCATTTTGTAGAGGAGATCAAAGTCGGTATGAATTTCAGCCTTCAATTAAACATTAAATAATAAAATCAGAACTTCATACAGTGTAATTTTCTTAAGTGACAATCTATCATACTTAAACACTCCGTGCTTCACATCCCCCATTTGTAAAATGAAGAAAAATATACCACCTATCTCACAGGTGGTTAAGGCTTTAATTAACACTTATAAAGTCTATATAGACCTTTGGCTGGAAATCACCATCACTACAAAACTGTCAGTTATTTTTTTTACTGCCTTATAGCCCGGAAAATACCAAAGTCATGAGTTTATGCAGACCTCAGAAAGGATTTTTATTTGTACGGTATCATAGTTCTGTGTTTGATTATGTGATTACAAAGTGAGCCTAACTGGCTCTATCTCAGATAATCTATGATTAAAATGCACTAGAAACAAACGAGAAGTAGCCCAAAGGCACCATAATTATTTGTCATGAATGACCGAAGTAAGAAAAAGTTAGCCATGACAACATTAAGAAAGCAGCCTTAACTGGAAACAGTCCTTCTGCTAGAACATATTAACCTCAGAACAACTGATTCTGCAGAATGGAGGCAGCCTATACCCACAGTAAGGTTAATTATATAGCCCAACAATTACCCTACTATATGCAAGTGCTATACCATCAGATGATAATGTTTATAGCTCTGGAACATATGAAGAAAAACCAAATTTTAGGAAGAATAAAAATGCTGACACAAAACTAAAATACGATCAAGTGTATGAGCCATTTGCTGAGACTCTGGCCCTTGTGAACAAATCCATCATTTTTTTTAAAAAATGGACAGTTTACACCAATTCTGATTGGCCACGGAAGATACTCAGCACCTTTGTAACTATCCAGCAATATGAAGCCCTCAGTTTTGTACACATGCTTAACTTTATGCACTGCAAAAGCCCCATTGACTTTTGTCTGTGGACTGATTAACAAACCGCTTCCTTGCCTATACAGTATGTGATAAGCTGAAGAATGAAAATGAATCTGTTGCACAATTTCACTGAACATTTAAATAAGTTTTAAGACATGGTCAAAACCACCACTGCTCTCACCATTGATTTTTGATCAGTTTCTTCGTCAGGATTTTTTGCTCTCCAAGGTAAATGAGGACACCAGTTTTCAACCTGCAAAAATAATGGATGGAAAAGTTCTTTTGTTCTGCTTTCAACGTGTGCAACTTTATCAAATTCTCTTCTATTTCATTTATGTTATATTTCCCTACAGCTTGAACGGGGCCATAATTGATCAATATGAAGTCAGCCTAAAACAAAGCCATTTGCTGTTATGATGTGTCTTCCCAGGAAAAGACATCAAAGATGCTTTGCAGTATAAATGGACACTAGGGAAAAATCTAAGATACAGAAAAAGCACTACTCATACCTTGAATATAGTTTATAGAAGGTCATTTTCAATAGCTGGTTGCTTTTTAGTAGGCAAAAAAGGAATAATAAAATAGCTTGGAATATATTACCCAGTTCTAAGGACTGGCTATAAAACCTGTAGGGATGGATTAAAAAAATAGGGACAAGTATTCTACCCTGTATGTTTGAGTTCTCCTTTACCAGTCTAGACAAGAAACATTATACTGCCAGTGAGGAGACTTGTTGGGAAGTAACGGGGTAGGATGGTGCGGATGGCACAGGAAAATGCACGCGTTTAACAAAATGGCACCACATATCAATATCAAGACAAAGGAAGGGTAACCACAAGGACTGAGTGACTATAATGACGGGGGAATCATGACAGTAGCTGCTACCATTGTACTCTTGTACATGCTCAAGGAGTCACTGCTGCTTGTATAATGGCTGGCTAGTATAGCACCTTCCTGCTCTTCAATTTAAGATCTGCAGAGAGGCAGGATTCTTAAGCTGCATTGAGGCCTAAGCGATTGGTTTACTGACGATGTTGTGGAGAAGGAAGAGTGTGTGCACCGTCTGCCCAACTCTCAACACTATTGGTGGAGAGAAGCCACTAAAGGCCCAAGATACTTGCACACGTATTGGGGAGAGGCAGAAGAGCAAGAGTGTGCTGGCCAGCTTGGATATCATCACTAACAGGGCTTGCGTAGGAATTCCATGGGAGCAGAAGTCAGTGTTGCTGTCATTATGCTCCTGTGTTTACAAAAACAGTCAAAATAAATGCAATATTTAGCTTAGTGATAAACAAGGAGCGTAAGGTAAAAGATATTACCTCGCTCATCTTGTCTCACTCCTATCCTGGGACTAATACATTTCCAATGTTGTTATAGCCATGTTTAGCTTACTCAGACCTACTCTATGTTCTGAAAGCAGTCAACCCAAAATCAGTAGATGAACAGCCTAAGCTAAATAGCATGCAAAAAGATTACTTAGAAAAGCAAATCACATGAAAATGATTTAGTAGAAACCATAACCTCATTAAGGAGTAAAAGAAATCCAACCCAGCTGGGTTCCCCAATCTATATACGAGCATTTCAACAAACGTCAGGACCTCTTCCACTCATCTGAAAGTGGCAATGGGGTCAAAACTCGCCCCCCCCCGCCCCACTTGGGAAATGCCACCCCACTTGGGAAATGCCTGACTCTTCATTACACTCAAACTCAGGAAAGATGCTGGACACTGTAGTAATTAATAGTTCGTAATTTTAATCAACACAGGCTGCAAAAGCACTATTGGAAAATACTAGAAACCCCCATTCTTGCAACCTAAGATGCACAGATCAGCTTGGCTTTGCGAAACAACTGTATTTTTTAACCAGGTAGGCAGAACTTTTGGAGCACACAGCAAGATATTTCTACTATCAAAACTGATCTGTATTAAAGGAGAGGTGACCAGGACTATTGCACAGCCCTCTCTTCCGGCTTCACACACACTTACACCGCACCCAGCAGATCTTGCCACTTACCCATGGCTCTTACCACAACCCTCTCCTTCTGCATCATAAACATGTACCGTAACTCCTCACTTAACATTGTAGTTATGTTCCTGAAAAATGTGACTTTAAGTGAAACAATGTTAAGCGAATCAAATTTCCCCATAAGAATGAATGTAAATGGGGGGTTAGGCTCCAGGGAAATCTTTTTTTGGCTATACTACACAGTACTATAGTTGGAGGTGCCCCCGTCTTACCCCACACAGGCACAGCCCACTGGCACTGGAGACAAGGAGGCTGAAGGTGCTGTAGGCTAGGAGAAGCATGTTGCACAGCAGCTGCGGCAGTTTCCCCTACTCTGCAAGCACAAGGGGCGCGGGACTCAACCATTGGCCTGCCCACTCCACCCCTTTCCCCAAAACCCGCACCCTTAACTCACCTCTTCTTTCCCCCACCCTTTACTTCACACGCCATGTCCTCGCTCCTCCCCCCTCCCTGCTCCCTCCTGCCCACGGCAATCAGCTGGCTTGTGGTGTTCAGGAGGCAGGGGGGAGGAGCAAGGACACAGCGCGCAGGCTCCCCTGCCATCTGCTGCCTCCTGAACACTGCAAGCCCGCTGATTGCCGCGGGCAGGAGGCAGGGGAGGGAAGGAGGAGGTGCACTGTGTCCTTGCTCCTCCTCCCTCCCTCCCTCTTGCCTGAGGCAATCAGCTGGCTTGCGGCACTCAGGAGGCAGGAGGGAGGGGGGGAGGAGCGAGGACTCTGTGCGCAGCCTCCCCCCTCCCTCCCCTGCCTTCTGCCCGGGGCAATCAGCTGGTTTGCCGCGTTCAAGAGGCAGGGGAGGGAGCAGGAGCCTGCGCACTGAGTCCTTGCTCCTCCCCACTCCCTCCTGAACACTACAAGAACAGCTGATTGCCGTGGGCAGGAGGCAGGTGGAAGAGTGGGAAGGTGCTGACCCATGGAGTCTCCCAGAGGGGCATAGGGGAGCCGATACGGGGGCTGCCAGCTGTGGACAAAGCAGGCAGCCATATGACGTTACAGCGAAGCATTGCACGACTTTAAATGGAGCATGTTCTGTAATTGAGCAGTGACGTAAGATCGAAATAACATTAAGTGAGAAGACGTTAAGTGGGGAGTTTCTGTATCATTCCCCCATCCTTCCGCCCACTGCTCCATCTCCAATGTCTGGTCACCCTCACCCCTCTATTGTTCCCTCCAGCTTTACCTGCTCCTCTTTCCTTCTCCACTACAACCCCTCCCCATCTCCAGCTGCTCTCACCAGCACAAATCTACGTCCTGTGTCCACATCTTCCTCCTCAATTCTGGTGACCTTTGCCTCCATCCTGGTTCCGCTCCTCTCCCCGTCTGCACACCAGTCCCCCAACATCTCATGCAATATCTTAGGGGACCATACTGTAGTACATTTATAAATTGTATATATACCCACTATGGGACAGGGATTGTATGCAACTTGGAATGCGGGGTGGGGGTCGGAAAGAGGGGCTACCACAGCTCCTCCAGGAACTAAAAACAATGGGTGGTAATTAAGGTGAATCACACAGGTTGTAAACATATCCAGAGAGGTACCACCCCCTGAGAGGTTTACATTTAATGTTTCAAACTGGACTTTCCAGAGACCACCATGCAAAGGAAAATCTTTTGGCATAGAAAGGCAGAGTTTAAACTGACACAGGGCTTTTTTTGATTCAGCAGACAGTCCAACCCTTGCATTAGGGTTGGAAAGACTTTGGCTTAGTAGTGCCCCATAAGACTAATGGATGAAATCTGATGAGCTCTTAGCATGTTTCCTCACAGAAAGTTGGAGAGGGGGATGACAAGTATCCTGCAAAGGACATGTTGAAAGAGTAATTGGAGAGGTAGGAGGAAAACCAAGAAATGAGAGAGTCACAGAAGCCAAAGGGAAGGAGAAGATTTCAAGAGGAAGATGTGTCAAAGATGGCGGAGGATGGAGTACTGGATCTGATCTTTGGCTAGGAAGAGGTCATTAGAGACTATGGCAAGGCAATAGGCACTGACTCTGTGTGTGCTGCAGGGCTGGAGCACCCATAGGGAAAAATTTGCGGGTGCTCTGCACCCACTGGTAGCCAAACTCCCCCCACCCCATCCTCCTCCTCCGAGCGCAGCATCCCAGCTCCTCTCCCTCCCACTCCCGCTAGCGCTTCCCATCCGTCGCCTAACAGCTGTTTGGCAGCACTTAGGACTTTCCGGGAAGGAGGGGGAGGAGTGGGGACGTGGTGCGCTCGGGGAGGAGGCGGTAAAGAGGCAGAGGAAGGGCAGGGGGGAAGTCATCACCTATGGGCAAGGTGGTCTCAGTGAGTGCAAGGGATGGAAGCCAGGTTAAAGAGGGTATAGGATGGCTCAGGAGGAGGAGAACTTCACACAGCAATTGTAGACAGTGCAGTCAGTGAGCTTATAAATGAAGAGGAGAAGGGAGATGGGGTGGTGCTGGCTGGAGAAGTAAGTGCCATCAAGGGTGGGATGATTTTAAGATTGGAGAGACTAAAACATGATTGTATTGTGAACAGAAGGAGCCAGAGGAGTGGGAGAGGTTAAGGAGAAAAGTAAGGGAGGGGATGAGGATGGGTTCCTAGGAGATGGTATGGGGTCAGTGGGGCAAGTGGAGGGATTTGAGGAGGAGAGCAGATAAACACCTGTATCTGTGATAGAAGGGAGAAGAAGGGGGGTGGGGTGGAAGAAAGATAAGAGACAGCAGGGAAAGAAGGCTGAGGGTTTGGAAGTCATGGAAAGGTCATGTGACTGTGTGGTGGGGGAGGGGCTGATGGATAATGATAAAGAGAACGGGTGATGGGCAGAGAGGGAGAACTCAGGAACAGAGAGAGCAGAGAAAGGGAGAGCACGGTGATTGGTGAGGACCAAGCCAAGTGAATGATCTCTTTGACTAGCAGGAGAGTTGAATCAGGGCTGCACAGCAAATGAAGAGATGAGGGCAAGGATACTTGCAGCTAAGGGGTCAGCAGGGTTATCAACATGGAAGTTGGAGTCACTGAAGACAAGCATGAGAGGAGAGATTCATGAGATGAAATCAGAGAGGAAGGCTGATGGGGAGGAGTTAGGTGGATGGGGACAGCAACATGGACTGGGGGAAGAGAGAATGTACGATACAGAGCTGTTCAAAAGAGGAAGAGTGGAAAGGGGGAGGCATTGGCAGCAGCAGGAACAGGTCTGATCCAGGGCAGAGTGTGTGAGAGGAGATGCTTCCATAGAGAAGACAGCTGCACAAGCAGCCTCAGAT